AACCAAGGCGGAGCCAAACCTTGGAAAAAAAAAACCATGGCCCCCCCGGGCTCCTGCGAACTGAAACGCGTTCAAATGTTCTTTGTAGGAACTGAATTGAGCCGAAACTGAACATGAACTTGATGTCAAAGCGAGCCGAAGGAACCACACGTTTTACATATAGAACAGACCCGAACAGAACCAAGTCATATTCATTGCTTACTTCTCTGGGCAGTTTTGAGAAAGCAGTGATCTTTATTCATCTCTTGAGGGAACAGAACAAGGGAAACGTGTCATCCTGTCAAAGCCACCTGCGTGTGTAGGTGACGTAGGTCTCTCCGCTCTGCTTGGCGCAGTTTCCATTGTTGATGGCGTTGTAGTCTGACACCACTTTGCAGAGCTTCTCCTCTTGCTGAATGTAAGATCAAAACAAGCATGAGAGCCCAACAAAGACAACTGGCAGGAGGAGCAATCGCGTAACAGTAGTGACAAGGCACGTGTCAGGTGACGCATAATTGATGGAGGAAGTGACCTTACACAATCTAAAGTCCCTTCAGTCCTACGGATTACAAAAGATAAGGGACTGTAAGCTGTCCCGCAACCATGAGAAATGAAATACAGTAAAACTAGACCAAATAATCATAACGCAGGCAATTGTTGCGCTGGTTTAGTTTTACTCAACAAGGAATGTCCTCAAAATTAATCCCTCATACATGAGAAGGTGCTTTTTCCATGGTCCCCCTGAAGCCAGGGCCCACCATGATGAGCTACGGCAGAACCCTAAGCCAAACCGTAAACTCTACACCCTGAACCCTTGACCCTACCCTCTGCATCCGAAACCCTAACCCCTAAACCCGAAACCCTACATCGTCAACCGGCCTTCTCGGACAGCAAGTCTGCTTCTTCCTTGTCGCACGTGGACTTGGCCGTCTCTGCTTCGCCTTCTTCCTTGCTGCAAGTAATAGTAAAGAGTAACAGAAACAGTACTTGTACTAGTAAGAGTAGTAATAACATGAAGTAACAGTAATGGTAGCAGTACTACCACGTAATGATAAGAGCAATAGTATGAAGATGTAGAAGAATAATAATAGTAGGAGCACTAGGGGGGAGAGTAAAGGTGACGCTACGTGCATTCCTTTCAACATGACCTTCAAAAGAGCAACCTCCCGCAGCTGAAGCCTCACAGCACCAAGACGAGGCAGTGGGAATAGTGCACGAGTGTTCACTATTGAGGGTTTCCAGAAGGCCCCCCAGGAATGGTATGATATGGTATCCTAAACCCTAAACCCTATTATTGATAGAGATCCCAAGGGATGGACTCCTAAGTTTTAGAACCCCACTCCCAATTGTTGACAGCCGCGCCTTGCGGCACGTGGAGTGCTGCGAGGCTGCGCTTGAGAAAGTGCCTGGGTTGAACCAGCAATTCGTACGGCTAATGCCAAAGTTTATAAGCTGGCAGTAGCAATAGCAATACTAAAAGAACAGGAATAACAATAGTAAATAGTAGCAGGGGCAGGCTTATTTGATCACTCAGCCTTACTTGACTGCTGGGACGGATTTCAGGAATTAGGGCATGGGCAACTTCAGCTGAAATCGAGCCTGCCATCGCTGCCCAGTAGTTGCACAACTCCGCCTCCAAGAAGCTTGTCCTACTTCCCCTTTACATCCTGGCCGTGTCTGAATGAAAACCATCATTCACATGGAGGCAGTGCCTACCTTATTGAAGGGATACCGTGTCGTTGCAGGAGCAGGACTGCATCCAAGGTGCTGCTCTTGGTGCTGACCTCCGTGCTCCCCTGCATTGAAGTATCGCACCTGGATCTTGTAGGTCGTCAGGATGATGTACATCCATACGTAGATCGCGAAACGCATTTCTTCACTATAGGCAAGGCTGCAGCAACCACGCAAATGAACACTATGCCTGTTGAACACTACGACGTACTGACAAGATAGATCACCATAGCCTAAACGACAGGAGTATGTGTAAGATTGCCGAGGAAGAGCTGATTGAGACACTCTCCCTCCAGGCTGAGAATGACATGCCCAGGTCAACAAGGACAGCAAGCATGCTGGTGTTTTATCACTCTGCAATGACCGAGGCGGGTGCTTCACGATAGGTTTCTTAGAGGCTGCAGGGTGCAATCCGCCTGCCTCAAACTTGAATCAGTTTAGTTGGACGAGAAGAAGACCAGGTTCATGGCAGCTGTGCCCCATGTGCGACATCAGGTGGTAGAATAGAACCCCTCTTTAGAATAAATGCATGTGGTTGCTCATGGCAGAAGACTGGAAAGCAGGTCACGTGGAGATGGGGAAGGATTTCTAAAACGTGGCTTGGGGAGGATGGCCAGTGTTAGTCAAACATGTGTCACAGTGTCGAACCGTGTTGGCTCCTGATGCCACCTTATTTCAAACGTATGCTCAATTGCACTATCATGCCTACAGAAGGTCCAACAGTCCTCCAGCAAATGCAGATGCTGGCAGTCCATGAGGCCGGCACTTGTCGTAACCGCTTGCGTAGTGTCCGTCCAGCTCTGTCTGCAAGGAGGCCTTGACCTTCTTGACGGCGGCCTCCGCCCAGCATTGCTTAAGCCAGTTCTGTGCGGCCCCAGAATTCACAACAAAATGAAGTGGTGAGCATCACAACCCAAGTCCTTCGAAGCCCACTCCCGAAATGAACGAAGCAAAATGAAGGCAAACTCCAACACTAACAGTTGAATGGCTCCATTAGGGCAACTTTTTGGGGCCCCCTATAATATTGGGATCCCCCCATTTCGGGAAACTACCATATTATCCTTTTGCAAATTCCAGCAAATTCCAGAGTTCAGGGTTGACAGGACGTATTCGGGCCCACCATCATTTCATCTTCGATGATCTTCTCCAACTGCTTTGCAAAGTTTGCCAGCGAGGGCGTAGCATCTTGCTGGAGAAGCTCATGCCTCGCAGCCAGCATAGGAGCCCGGGTTCAACTCATCAACGATCATCGCAACACGATGCTTATGCGTAGATCCTTGTAGGAAACTTGCATGAGCGAGAAAATATCCTGTCAAGTTGTCATCATGAAATCCATAATTGGGACTCTGTAAAATGTAGAGTTCCTCTTTCCGCACTCTCAAGTTCTGTAATTCCTACTATGCCTGCTATGCTGACCCTGCAATGACTCCTGACCTTGAGAAAGCACCGAACTAAGGTAGCCAGGGGTAGTTGGTAATTTCCCAAATGAGGGGACCCCTATATAGATCCCTATATACTATAGTCCTCACTATAGGGGCTCCCTTAAAAGGGTACCCCTAGTTTTGGGAACCCCTTAAACCCTATAATCCCCTATATAACCACATTTTCCATCTCATTTTCCTTTTTTTTCATTTGATTCTCCATCTTTTTTTGGGGGTAATATGGTACCCTAAACCCTAAACCCCGAAACCCTAAACCCTGATTTTGGGAACTCCCCAGTTGTCGTGGGCGGGGCTTGGGCTCAAACCGCTTGGACTGCCAAGCACCCTGCCAGGATGAGGCTCAAAGCTTCTGATAAGGGGTTACAAGGTAGCCTTATATAGGGGTTATATAGTAGATTGGGTTGTATAGGGGTTATATAGGGGTTATATAGGGTTAATATTGGGGTTATATAGGGATAATGGAAAAGAAAATGGAAACTACTATAGTAGATTGGGTTGTATAGGGGTTATATAGGGGTTATATAGGGATATATGGGGGTTAAATAGGAACAATGGAAAAGAACATGGATATAGGGTTTAGGGTTTAGGGTTAAATGGGGGTTATATTGGGTTATGTAGGGATACTATAATACTATAATGGAGAACCAAATGGAAAAGATAATTGAACATGAAGTGGAAACTTGGATTATAGGTTCTATCTCATGGACTCCTGTGGTTTGGGGGTTTCCCAAAATGAGGGGTACCGTTTGGGGCTTCCAATAAGAAGGTCTGTAGTATTCTGGGGTCTATATTAGGGTCCCCCGATTTAAGGAAATTGCCAAAGGGATCTGAATATTCTGGAGGCGAGAGGCATGACCCTCTACCCTTTGACCAATCATTCATCTTTCCTTGTCTATCTTGATCCATCCTGCTACTCGAAGCCGAAACCTCTCAGTTTTTAGGCTTATCTGATCAGCAAATGTCGGCAACAAACATGTTTCCACATATACCTGCTTCTTCCATTATCTACCGCCACTAAGATGCAGAAACGGGGTCACAGCTTTTCGAAGGCTTGCGCTTACCTTCTCAATATTCATCAAACCTTCTCTGAAATCCAAGGTGCACCGTCGTCTCAAGGTCAGATACATCCTTTGGCACTGGCGAGTCGAAGGTGCGGTTGAGCGCCACGTTGCTGGCCAGCCGAGTGCCCTTGAGGGCCTCCGGCAAGGGGATACTGAAGCTGCAGCTACGGTGGTATTTACTACCTACAACCGTGGCGGCGGGAATGCTTACTACTTCCCTTCAAAAATTCAAGGCGACTTTCATTCTACGCTCCGCTTGTCTTCAGCACGCGTGCCCCAAGATCGCGGCTCGAATCGCACAATCTCTTGAAACGAAGCACAACACCTTACTTGACCTAGGTGTCGGATTGTGATGCCACATGTTCCTTTCGATCCTGCCCTTGCCAGCCCTGAACTATGCACACTGTGCCAGTAGATACAACAAATTGCCAACTGGATTGCTCAACATGCAGTCCAATACTTGTTGCAACCACCTGCTTTTCGTCAGTGCTGTGTGGTTTGAAGGGCCACACAAGATTCCGATGCAGCCTTCACGGCTTCTGCCCCCGCGGCAAGCACGAGGAGGATGATGGTTCGGCACATGATCCTCGACTGTGTGAACGAAGCCCATTGTCTGCCGAGGATTTCAGAACAAAAGCACCTGTTTTGTGCGCACTCTTCGCACTCTGTTCTGGAATAAGGGCTTCGGCCTCTCTCACTCCAACTCAACATGCAGGGGTTCGGGTTCAGGTGCCCTGCCCGTAGTATTTCTTGCAGGTCATGCCTAGCTTCGGCAGGGGCTTAAGGCCTAGTTCCTATGGGGTGCCTTGTCAGCCCTCACCGTCCAAACCTATTCAAGCTCCAGCCACCACCCCAAATTTAAACCTTGCAACCAGGAGCTTGGACAGGTTCACGTGCTAACTTCGTTGGAGGCTGGAAGGCAAAAAGGACGGCAAGCTGAAAGCCAGCGTTCTCCACAAGTCCACAAGACTGTTGGCTCGCACTCACTTCAGGACTCCCTAAGGAGCTTCAGTTTCTCCCATCTTGCCAAACGTGCCTCGAATTGCGGTCTCCTCAAAGCCCAAACCCATCCTACAAGAAACCCTCAAGCGAGAGATCTCCAAATCATGTGAAGCTTTCGGGGTGCGCGCACTGCTGTCTTTTGCAGCTGCGCGCTTGCCCGGCATATCTTGGCAACCATCCGCGACGTCGACCTGGTCCTGACAGCTGAAGCAAGCCTCTCCTTATACCGCTACTAAATAATACCAACGCACTTCCTGCCACAAATGTGTGTAGGATTCCTGTACCTTTACTGCGGTCTCAACTGGTCCGTATTCATCCCTTCACGATACCAGTCGACAGCATTCCCACCTGCTGCACAGAACGGCATGGATGGCCTTGTCGGCCTCTGCTGCATCTGGCAAGGCCAAACTCTGCAGGCGTACTAGGGACACAGCACTCTGAGACCCCCAAGAAGCCAGTCGCAAATCCACCAACCCCAAACAGCCAGCTGCAAAATCCACAGGCTTTGAAGCATAAGGGCCAACTGCGACGCAAGAACCCGCTGAGCATCCCAACTCCGCCAGCCTTGCAATGCACTTCGCAGCAGGCGTGCCCACCTGCCGCAGCTACCGAGGTTACATCGTCAATTCCAAAGAATACTCGTCTAGTACGCAGGTGCGAGATGCTTGCCCAAGCACTTGAAAGATCTTGCTCTCGTCGGACGACAGGTGCTTTTCCTACCCGGCACTTCTCCAGCTCTGCTTCTTCGTGCGCAACTTGCTGGGTGTGCCTATTTCCCCATCGCCATGATCTGGGCCAGGAGCTATTGAGCGCTGTTTATCGCCTGCACTCATGCAAGATCGCTGCAAGTCTACCTCGGCAAAAACAACCACTTCTGCTTGACTTTTTCTGCTTCGGGCAGAGGGATCGTCAAGCAAGCACACAGAAGATACTGCTAGCGAATGGCCATTCGGAACGTTTTCACTTCTGTGGGTTCAGGGATGATCTTAACTCTCCAATGCTGGCAGTCTATGACATCAAGACAAACATCATCCTCCTAAGAATCATCCTGGGCCAGAGATTTTGACCATGTAGCACTTGTCAAAGCCTTTGCGGCAGAGTAAGTAGAGCGAACTAGGATCTGTGATTTTCTTGATCAGTCAGCTGCCCTGAGACTTCTAGTGCTGTTGCACAGGTGTGCATAGCCATATACATGTGCATAAGGTAATTTCCCAAAAAAGGGGGACCCCAATATAGACCCCAATATACTATAATCCTTATTATGGGGACCCCTAAAATGGTACCCATAATCTTGACAGGCACCCATATATGTTTTAAAGTATTTCCGACACCTCGCTAGTCTAGCAGGTGCAACGCTGCTGGATGTATATGAGCTATAGTCTAAACTCCTGGTATCCCCCTTAATAACCCTCATAGTAGTCCCCTATGTAATCCCTGGTACCAATCCCCCAATAAGCCCCTTAAAGGAGTTTAGATAATGATTCATATCATGCGTAATTCAAAGTCACTTGGCCCACTTCGAACATCCTGAGCCCAGCAGGGATACGCTCCGACGGCTCGCTTGGAGAAATGACGATAGGTTTAGCAAGCCGCTAACGCCTGCACGCTGGCTGCTATGCCTCGGCACTAACGTTTGTTATTGGGCACAACATTTCACATGGAAGCTTTATTGTCTGTTTTGTAGTGTCGTTTGGTGCACGCTGGGCATCGCACGACAAGGCAGTGCCTCTCAGCAAAAAAGGTGACACACGGGCCCTGCAGCTTGTACAGTCTACAGTTTTCTACAACCACCAGGCGTTGGCCGGGGTTTCATCAACCAACGCCCTTGCACTTTGCGATTGAAAGTGCTGGGATGCTTTATGGCTATGGATGGTGGGCATGTCTGCGTCTGTACTTGTCTCAGAGGCTCACAGCTTCTATAACTGCTTTAAGCGCGGCGTCCAGCTGGGGAGTCGTGTGCACCAGCCCATCAGGATTGCAGGATGAATTCGTCAGGAAGAAAACAGACAACAACCAACTGAAGAAATGATATGTCATATGCTTGAAATCAAGAACATATCATCACACCTTTGTGTGAGTGTATGCAAAGGCTTTGCTGCATGCTTGGATGGCACATATCGCAATGTTCAAACGGGACTTCTGATGTCATGCTGCTGAGTGGGGTGGAATGAGTACCTGAGAGGAAAGACAAGGAACAACATATTTGACAACAACGTTTGCCAGCATGAGTGGTGCTTTAAATGCCAATCTCGCTTAACTTGGATCATCGAGCATAGCTCATTCATGATCCTGGTGCCGGTGCACACGATGTAATTACAGCCAGCAGCCAGAAACACCGCTGAAGCAGCGAGTATCCGAGCATGCATACAATCCTTCTGAATGTCATAGCCATCTTGTGAGTTTCCAGCTTCATATAATCCCAATATTACCCTAATATAGAATTGCCTCCAGAGCCCAAATCATGAGAACATCGGCTCACCAGTCGAGCATGCCGAGGTCTTGATTCAATGGTGACAAAACTGAGAAATTGCGAAGCGCTGCTGCCTCCGCCCTACAGGTGGGGAATCACACAAAAAATTTGAGGATCAGGATCCAAAAAAGAATAAGGATAAAAACTTGCCCAGGATTGAAAATCATGGTAGAAGATATATTGCAGTATTCTGGGCCATCTAGAGGCTGCAGATACTGAAAGTCGTCATTTAGAGCCTGCAGATACTGTGAATTACAGCATTTGGAGCTCCTTAGAGCAGATACAATAAACTATAGCATCTGGAGCTCTTGCGAGCCTAGCTCTTTCGAACTTACAACTGCTGTGAATTACAGTGTTCGGAGCCTTGCAAAGAACATAGACGCTGCGAATTGGAGGATTTTCAGTCGCGCTGTTTGGATGGTCTGAAAAAATGGGTTAGGGGGGTCACAGCTCCAAACCAGTATGATCCGCATGATTCTCCCTTACAGCAAACATGGTGATGACATGATGCTTCTTATTCAAAAAACGTGAG